GATTGTCCAGCCTCCCAATCTTTGTCCTACGTCTCCTATGCCCTAAACTGTCACTAATAACCCTCCTAGAGGCAAGTGTATGAGTAGAAAAATAAAATCAACTTGTTACCAAGTCTCTTTTCCTAAGCCAACCCCTCTTACACACACTTCCTCATCTACTGACCTGATTACTTCTAATGTTGTCGAAGCCCCTCCTACTTATGTTTTTTAGAACTTTGATGAGTTCTCGGCTATCAAAGATAATATCCCCAACCTTAATTTCCCTACTAAAACCTCTTCCTCTCCTAATAAATTAGACCAAGCACCCTCAAAACCCCAAAATATATCTTAATATCCACCCAAAAAAATTTCTATTCCTTTCAGAGTGTTAAGAATGTGCAAAATCTAGCAACCTGACAACCCTTCATAAACCTCTGGAACCTCAGACACCCCTCCCTAACCCTTAGCACCCCCAACACCCTCAGCATCTCCCCACCGAAGGACCTTCCCAAAAACTCTCCTTGTTGATCTCCCACTCTGGAAAATTAAGTAGGTCTAAAAGTGCCAAGAAGGCCTCCAACCTACCACCCAATTCCAAATGACTTCGCTAATATTGCTTCATGGAATATTGGAGGTTTCAAAAGCCCAGAAAAAGTCCTTTGTTGTAAAAACATGGTTTCCTCTTTAAATTTGGACATGATTTACATCCTTTAGGCAAAGATTCATACCTATTAGTTGAAAGACCATTTGTTCCATGCTGAGCATAGAATCTTCCAATCTAAAGATTGTTGTGACACTTTGCATTGTCTGACCCTGGGAGGATTTGGATAAAATGGAATACTTCTAATGTTTCTTGCACCCATATTTTCTCCTCGAGTCAAATGATTCATGGCTCCCTTACTATTGTCCCTTCCTCTTCCCACCTCATCTCAACGGTCTATGCTTCTAACTCTCATGGTGAAAGATTAAATTTATGGAAACATATTCTTTCCTTATCGGCTAGCATTTCCTCCTGTGGGTTTCATTCGAGGAATTCAATTGTTGTAGGTTTTTTTTATGAAATTATTGGGGTATTGATATTCCTAATAGTAAATTATTGGACATTAACAACCTGATTTATAGTATTAGGATTCAGGGCCTCTTCTCTATTGGTTACCTCTATACTTGGTACAATGAAATATGTGATTCTCCTATTCACATAAAACTAGATTGAGTTTTAGTGAATAGTCACTTGATGGAGGCTTTCCCATCTTCTTTTTATAGAGAGGAAAATCCTAGTTGTTCTAATCATTCCCCTCTTATACTTTGATACAAACCTCATACCCCTTATAAGCAAAGATTTCTCTTCAAAAAGTATTGGTGCCAAAAACAAGAATTCTCGAACATTTTCATCTCCATTATGGTTGAGACCCTACTAAAAGTACTATTTTTTATCTATATTTTAATTACATAAGTTAAAAAGATGCATCAAGTCAGAGTCATAGGTTTCTATAAATTATATTTCATTTACTTTAAATTCACTTCAAAATAAACATAATTTTCTTCATGAGTGAATTCGAGTGAATCCCCTTGATCCTCATCTTAATGAAACTTTGATGGAGGTTATCTCATGTTAATTATAACCTCTCATTGTGAACCTCCTGGATTAATTAACATTCTAAAGCTAAGCAATTATCCTATGGAGAGAATGACTTGGCATTTCTATATGCTATAATTTAGTCAAGACATAACAAGAACAAAATTAGTGCTTTAACTATAAGGATGGTGTTCTAGATGAACCCAATGGAATTGAATTTACTATCATCAATCATTTCAAGTTGTTGCTTAAATTCCGCAAGCCTCCCCATGCCAACTTCCTTCATATTCTAGCTGGAAGAACTATCCCAAACCATATGCTCTATTCTCTTGTTTCTCACATCTCTTGTGAGGAAAATAAGAAGGTTATTTTCACTACTCATGCTTCTTCTGCACCCGGGCCAAATGGATTCACTTTTGAATTCTTTAAGCAAACTTAGGATATCATGGGTCCTACTTTTGTAAGGCTATTTGTCACTTTTTCTCTACTGATCACTTGACTAAATATGTAAAAGTGTCTACTATCATGCTCATTCTCAAAGGCAACCATGCCTCTTGCATCTTTTATTATAGACCTTTTTTCTTTTTGTAATGTTTATTATAAAATTGAAGCCACAATTATTGCTAATAGGATATTAATTATTATTCATCTTATTATTCATCCAAGCGAGGTAGGATTTATTCATAAAAGAATAACGTTCTTCTGGCCTCCAAACTTCTTAGGGATTTCAATTCTACTATTAGAGAGAAATTCTTTTGTGCTAAGTTAGATATTCAAAAAACATTTGACACCATCTCTAAGGATTTTCTCCTCACAAAGCTTACTTAAAAAGGTTTTCCTAGTTTGTTAATTTCTTGGATCAAGGAGTGTATAAAGTATGTTTTCTTCCCCATTTGTCTTAATGGTGCTTTGGAAGACTTCTTTTGCTCCACCTCTGGTCTTCATTAGGGTTTCCCCTCATCTCCTTATCACTTTAATATTATCATGGATGCTTTTTCTAACTTGTTAGATGATGATTTTGGTGGTGCTCCTTTTGAAGGTTTTGCTATTGGAGATAAAAAGATCTCCAACCTCTTATATATTGATGATGCCATCCTCTTATATGTTGATGATGTCCTTGCTCTTTGTTCTGACCTATTTATCAAGCACAATATAAGCTAAGATGTATTCACTCACAAAACCTCTGTTGTTAAAATCTATTATGCTCTTCATATATCTCATGTCCCTTATCAAGTACTTTGGCTTGCTAATCTCTCCGAAAAGGCATTTCAGCTATGACTATCAACCCATTTTGAACAAAGTTCCTAATCTCCTTGTAGGTTGAAAGCTAAAATTTTATCTTCTGCAGGCCGATTGAAATACCTTAAATTTACCATCTATAACATCATCTCTTACTGGATTAGAGGGCTCCAATTCCCAAGTTTTGCTGCAAATTCATTAACAAAACCTATTCTAGATTTTTGTTTCATGGTCATGCTTCTGCGGTTAAACTCCACACCATTTCCTAGAAATTTGTGTCATCCTAAGATTTATGGTGGATTGGGGATTCCTAATATCGAAGAACTTTATTATGGCTTTTTTCTCCCTTATATGGCCTTTGTTGATTGGTCATAGTTTGTCTCTTATGGTTAAGCATAATCCATTTGGAAGCCCCTCCTCCATAGGCTAATAAATATTGGAAATTTGTGCATTACATTGCTGGAAGCATCAAAATAAAAGTCCCATTCAAAATTTCCTCATCAAACTCTCTTTCTCTTATCCGGGACCCGTGGTATAATGGAAAGACTTTATCTGAGTTACTTGATTACACTTCCTACTCGGCTTTTAAATCCCTATGTTGGGAATGTGATACAATTAGATTCATGGGCTTTTCTTGTGGGTTTTCCTTTGAATGTTGTCACGACTGTTTCTTCCATCTCCATTAATCCCTTTGTAAGTTCTTGTATTGGATGTGATGGGATCTCTTTCCCATCTTTTAGGTGTTATACTAGATTCTTTATGATGGCTTGCAAAAGGTGGACTAGTGTAATCGCATCTGGCATAAAAAATTTGCAATTCAGTTCTTTTGTTATGCTTGGATGGCCTTGCTTCGGAGGCCTAAAAAGTAGACTGGTGTAATCACATCTGGCATAAATTTGTTATTAGGCACTCTTTACTTTTTGTGGAGAGAAAGGAATAATAGAAGATTTAGTAGAAATATTAATTATCCTGTGACTGCTTGTCGTCTCATTAAGAATTCTATTCATGCCAAGGTTTTAAAGTGGAGTTCATATCATGATATCAAACATCTCATTTCTTAATTTTGCTTGGACTAGGGGGCTACGGACTTGGTTGTTTTTATGGTGGGCTCTTTTTTGCATCATGGTCTCCTTTGAGATTTCTATGGGGATTCAATTTTGTGGCCTCCTTTGCGAGTTGTATTCCCTGACAGCTCTAGTGCATTTCTCTTTACTGGCCAAACTTGGGCTGTCATGAGTGACAGACTTCTATCTAATGGACCCTTGGACGATCGTCTCGGCAGCCAGCTTATTTTTCTTGGAAGGTCATCTCAGCAACCAGCTCATTTTTCTTGAATGTCATCTCCAACAACGAAGGATCCAACCCTACTATGAGATTTTGATCTTGCTGATATTTTATGCCAGTTCTTAGTCATCCTTTTGAGCTTTATTTCCCCTTTTTTAGTCTTTTAATTTAAGTTTAGCTTTTGCTGAATCCATTTTTATTGGTTTGCAGTTTCTCTTTGGCTTAATAGAAATAGTTATAAGTATTTTTTATCAATGAAAATGAACTTTGCCTCAAATTATATATATATATACACGTGGCTCACTTTTTCCATAGCATTTTAACCTTAAAACTCCTCTCCACTCTCTACTTTAATGATATTTCAAGACTCATAGTACTATAACCTCCATTTTTTTTTTCAAATTTTTTTAGCCAAACAAATACAAACACACATGCAAATTTAAAAGCAACCATTTATTAATAATAAAAACTCTCAACTAACATATTAAAATGAACTAGATCAAAATGAGCTGCATTTATAAGCTCTAAGTTGAAATAGCTATTACAACAAGGAAAACAATGGCTAACAAGTTGGTTGCTATAAGGTGCTTATTGATCAACAAAATTAAAAGAACATTTTAATTTTTATTTTTATTTTTTTCTCTATTTTAACTTTATGTTTAGTTAAAAGAAAAAAGAAATATAAAAGAAATTTTCAAAGTTTTGAAATACCCAAAAAACTGTTTAATTACATGTGAAAATACCTAAATCAGATAATTTTTTAAAGCAACCATTTATTGATCAACTCGCACTTGCTCGCATCGCCCATTCATCCGCGTCTTGATCTAGCATCCAACTAAATAATTCTTATATTTTTAAAATAAATACATTCTAATTACTCAAATATATATATATATATATATATAAAATCAAACGAACGAGCTTCGATATCAAATGTGATACTAAGCTGGAAAAAAAAATTCTATTCTCAGGTAACAGTGAACAAAAGTGAAACATAAAAAATCTGTCAAGAAGCAGAAAAACAGAAGTTCAAGGCATGAAATTAAATACGTTGAGAAGCGAGCACCTGTCAATTTATTCAAGCCAAAAGAAGACGAAGGAAACAATTGCTTGTGCAAAAGATTCAGAACTTCATCATGAAATTGGGCACCATTATCTCTAGTAATCCCTTAGGGTTGTCCACATGAACCCAATGACCAGACTTGGGAAGAAGATGAACTGTCAGCTTTCCCTCGTCTGCTTTCCTTACCTTCGTTGATAAATAGAACAGCTTGTCAAGCACATGCTTGGGCCATCTATCACTATTCTCAGCTCGAACCATCACAATTTCCATTCCACTTGGGGGTTTCTCCAGTAAATGCCAATAGCTTGTTTCCCTAGAGAAGCCAATATTTAAGTTTCATTAACTAATGCGTGATGAATGTCCACACATGAACAATTCATTCCACAGAGAAATTTAAGAGAGAGGGAATAATAAAAGGATCTTCCACCTGTAGGAATCGAACATAGCAATCGCAGCCTGAAGATCAAAAGTCCAGGTTAATCCATCACCCGACTTCTTCAAGTTGCTCCCAATCCACTCAGAAAGGGACTTGGAAAATCCATGTTCAATCATGTGATCGACAAGCCAACTGTTTTTTTATTCAATTAAGAATGTTAGAAATGTATAGTGACGATTAACGCAACAAAACTGTTGGAGTAACTTTTGATTAAGCATCTGAAATGAGGAAAATCATTTAAGCTCTTTTATTCTTGTTTATTTCTTCTTGTTCTTTTTTTTATTTTTTAACCTTTTCTCTTTCTTCGCATAAGGCAATTAAAGTCCAGGCTAATATATTTTGATTAATAGAATCTCATAAAACAATTAAAGAGAAAACACATTTCTGTGAACAGGTTCGCAGTTTAATTTCCAATCAACATTAGGACAATCAATAGATGCTTCATGAGTCAGGTAACATGAACAGGTGCATTGGCTAAAAGAGTTCATAAGACCTTTTCGACTGTTGGGCAAACAAGTATTGGGCTTGAACCGAATTTTGCAAGATAGGTAATTGGTCAAAACCATAACAGTTTTGTAAAAACAAAATAACAAGTTTGAATTTTTAATCGATAAATTATTTGGATGAAGATTTTAATGTTAACTATTCAATGCCAGGAGGTGCATTATGTGCTGGGCGATCTACATTTAGTACAAGGCATGCCATTTTGCGGACACAAGCAATTGTCAAAATGTAGTATTAGTTATCATTCCTGATGCATGAAAACATTTTAGGCAGTACAATACCCAATTAAATTTTCAATAGCACACAAAGAAAATCAAAAACATAAAATAATGCAGCAACTGTTGTCATTCACCATGACAACTCATATAGAAAGGAGAAAAGGATGAGAGAGAGCATACTTTGGTGACGGAAGGGCTGAAGGAAGACTACTCAAAGTCTGTAAAACCTTTTCTACTTCACCATCACTTTCATCTGAACCGACCTTTCCTGGAACCGAGTCCAACACCCAAAGCTGTTCTGCATCAAGAGGAAAATCAAAAGTAATATCTACTAAAAAAAATAAAATACACAATATTATGATATGCATTGGTATAAAAAAAACAGCCAACAAACAAGAAAAATTCAGCACAAAATAAATTTTTTTATTGCTAGGAAATCAAATAATAAAAACAATATACAATAGTCCTCTTTTGAGAGGAGGACCTTCCATCCCAAATCCTAGACGCCGCTAAGACCCTGCACACAAAGAAAACTACAACACTCAAAACAAAATCTGAACCCTACTATGGACTTAAATAAACTCCTCCCAACAAAATTAGCCTCCTTCCTAATATGTTTCCCTCCTAATTTTAAAAATTATTCAATTAGGAAAGATTTCAGCGAGGAAAGAAAATCAATTAGGAAATTTTTTCCTAATTGATTTTCTCCTAATTTAATTTAAGAAACCTTCCTAAACAATTACACATGATTTAGGAAACATTCCTAAAAAATTATTGTCAAGGTGTATCCTTATGAAGCAATAGATATAAAAGATAGCAAGACTGCTCAAATTTTCTAAGTTAATGGTCAAAAGACCGAAACCATAAGGAGGGAAATAGATCGCCTTAGGAGTTCAATGGAATTAGCTCATCCAAAATAGAAGTTAGGCATAGTCTGACTAAAAATTGTAAAATTAACATTATTTGAGAGAACCTAATTGATTGTACTTGTTTATTGTTAGGGTAGATTGTGTGAATCATGTTTATGTATGTTTATGTTTGTAACTAGAAGTCCCTTTGGTTAGGTTTTTGTTTGTGTCTTATGGAAGGCGTGATATGTGTGGTGGACTTTACTTTGTGTGTAGAGCATTTTTAAAAATATCAACCTAAGCATCACAACGCTATTATAATTATGAAAAAAATTAAAATGTTAAAATAGCATCACAATGCCAAATCGAATAAATAATGTCGCATCACCAGCCAAGCTTATAGATTTTATAAACCATTCGAATGTCAAGCCACAGCGCCCGATAAATGTCATTATTAGGTAGTTGAAGCGCCATGGCGACAATCACTTCAAGGGTCGCAGCACTATCACGTGTCGAGCATCGCGGCGGTTTGACAGTCAAAAATCCTATGATAATAAGTTCCAAAGCTAGCGTTGCAGCGCTAAGTAGCTTCAGCATTGTAGCGGTTGTACTATCGTTGACCAGTTTGACCCAGCGTTATAATGTTACCAAGGGTAGCGCCAACCATTTTATAAATATCATTTAGGCTTATTCATTTCATTTTACTTGCGATTCTTTATCTCTAATGTTGATTTCGAGTTAAGTGCTCCCATTTCAATTATTTTAAATGGCCCCAAAACTCACCATCGGCCAGTAAAGATCACAATCATCTTTTCACAATGCTAGGAAATTCATGAATGCTATCACGAAAGAAAGATATAATAATTTGGTCAACAAAACTATGATCCCAAAGCACAATATTAAACTGGGGGGAGGTAGAAGCCCTGCTAGTGGAGAAAAATTGGGATTTTCCAGTATATCAACCTAAGCCTACTGTGGTTCCTATCATACGACAATTCTTCGTTAACATGAAGGAGCCTCATAATGAATCGGTGTGTGTCGGAGGGGAATGGGTCTTGTTTATCCCTGTAGCCATTAACCATGTCTTTCAAACTCCTAATTACTAGTTTGACGAGCATGAGCACCTGAATTTTTATATTTCTTCTATTAATTATGATGAAATTCTTAGGTTCTTAATCTATGGGAATACAAATGTTTAATGGAAAAAGAGAGATGATAAATTAATAAACTTTACCACATTTGTCCTAACTCATGAATCAAAAGCCTAACACTACTTTATTTTTGCACTATATTTTTGCAAAGCTCAAGCCTAGTAGAAATGTTGGTGAAGTTACTAAAGATAGGTTGGTTTTAAATTAATGCATTCAAAAGTAGTTTTGGTACACGTTTTAGATATCTTGTGTCTATTATTAGTAAAATTCAAATTGGATAGTTGAAGTGTAGGAATTTGTGGGCTCCGAAAATTCCATTTTATAGAGTGTGTGTGTGTGTGTGTGTGATCCCGGCCTCTCCGCACCATCCATTTATTTTTCTTTTAAGTGTTTGTGATACGATGACGGCAGAGAGTTTTAACGAGATTAGGTTTCGGGGGAATTTTCAGAAGGCAAATTGGCTTTTAGATAAGACACTACCCAGAGATTTCGCCCTCATTTTGTGAGAACTTTTTTGATCTGAGTTCTGGTTTCCTATAGGCGCAAGCCCCTATAGTTAATTACCCCTCCTGATAACAGGAGAGAACTTTCAATTAAGGCTAGTCATTAAAGGGGGTCGAATAGGTTATAAACCTATCGTATAATAGCAATAATTTTAGGGTTTAAATTTTGAATTTTGAAGTTTGAAATTTGGAATTTATAGTTTATCACCATAAACTTAAAACTGGTGGTGGGAGGAATGAAGACGAGCCCGATCAAGATCTCATGGTTCCGTCGTCCCGGGCTGTCATATTCCCTGGTCTACTTAGTCATAGGAGGTAGTCGACCCAACCTGACAGAAGGCACCTTGTTGGCAGTCATGGGTTGCTTCGTCCAAGAATACCTTATAGACCTTGGTTGATATTTGTCTAACGGGATATATATGAATCCACCTTAGCTAACAGAGGGCTTTTTACCTATCGAATATACCCTATGATCCATCGCTCTCAAGGGTTTGACGCCTATAGGGAACATACGAGCTTTGGCCGTGATCGTAATATAATGGTGCCATTTTGCAGCAAAACCACCCGATCAGAGGGCACATGCCACGTCCCTGTTGGCAAGAGACTGTTTGAGGATGAATCAAAGTGATACACCCGACATGCATTTGCTCTTTGTGAACTAAGGTTAATTTCAATTTTATCACCCCCGACAAACGATTGTGGGAGGTGGATGATTTTTTAGTTTTGATTTTTTTAGGTGGTTGACTTTATTTCAAGAATTTTGATTTTTGTTTGATTTGAGATTTGACCCCTCCGGTTGAGATTTTTGATCAACACGGTCATCATCGGGGTGACATTAAAGTCACTTGTATTTTTGTAAGACTTTAGGAGGCATTTTGTTATTCAAGTCGTGTCGACTCCAGTCTTTTTGAGGAGGAGGATGAAACTTAAATATTAGACCCGCACAGCATTCTCGAATCATTGGATTTGAGAATTAGATGTGACGATTGGAGCACATACGGGTTATATCATTTGACACTGCGCAGCATTCTTAGACATTTATATTTATAACTTTAAAACATTTGTCATAGCACATGCAGGATAAATTTTATTTTAAGGGATCACGTTTAATACATAAGGGCCATTTTAATATATTTAAATATGATCCATTTGGCGAGACTGATTTTGTTTTAAAAATGCCCAAAATTTCATTTAAGGGCCTACGAACGCCTTCTGTCCGCTTGTACACATGTTGCGGATCCTGTGGTGTTACTCTCGATGAATTTTTCTTCAAAAAATATGTATTTTGACGTTTCAAATAATTTTGTCTTCTTTATTGTCATTTGGCACAATTCCTAAAGGAGATTTACTCGATAGATGTTAGGAGAATGTGTTCGTATGAGACTATCGAACACATTGCTTTTCCCTCATATGGTATCGCCTGCTTGCTTTCCGGACATGAGGTTGCTACAGGGGTACTCTTTCTAAAAGAGAACGAGGCGCTAGAGAAGCTCTAGGACAGTACAGTACTTTCCTTTTTGACCAGCAGACAAGGCGCTAGAGTCGTGACAACCCCTAACAGCCCGTCCACAAGGTCAATCAGTATACAACAAACGTGCCCGGTCGCCCTACGCTACTGGCGTGAGATACTTCTCGAAGTTGGATCTACAGTCGGGTCACGCCGCGTTTGACTGGGAAGGATCGAACGACACATTTTTATTGAATGGAACACCTCGGCAAGCCCTAAATTGTTAGAAAACTATCGACCATATATCAAGGGTATCTTGTGGCCCATATGCGATTGCTTATGTGATAATGGATGATATTAATTTCTATCACTAAAGTTATAAGACCATTTTCTCTCTACCATCGCAACTTAAGTTACTTGCAACATATGATCTTGTAAGTTTGGTTTGAATACTTGATTCAATAGTAATCCTCATATTTTTTTCATCTTATGTAAACTTACTTATAAATGCCGAGTCAACTTCTCTTCAACATCAAACTTTTTAGATTAGCATTAAGAGTTTTAGGGAAGTATGGAATGGAACAAATGTACTAGCATTTGACTATTCAGTATTTAAAACGCTAAATGTGCGCCCCTTTAACGTTTAAATTAAAACAAATATCTTGATTGACATACACAGTTCATGAAGTAAGATGCTCATTATCACTCATCAACCTGAAGTTAAAATATTCCCAAGCTTTCTCAAGTTGTTTATGAAATTAACATCCTTCTTGATTTAATAGTGGCTCAAATAATTTTATTATTTCTGGGAGTATGAGATTCTGATTAAAAAAAAAACTCAGTTCGTGTATATTACATATCAATATCAATTCAATTTTAAATCGAGTTCATATTTGAGTCCAGTTCGAGTGTAGGTCAAACATTATTCAAATAAAAAAAAAATTAAAATTGATTTTAAATTTGAATTATGTTCAAATCAATTTCCAATTTTTAGTCCAAGTCCTTCGTTGTTCACTGAAAATTTTGATGGCCTCCCGGAGTCTCCTCCTCACCGAGGGAGAAATCGGGACGGCACTGCCGTAATTCTTCCTACCAGGACCTGAGGTCGACGGCGTAGGGCCTTCGATTTCAAATAATCTCACCAGAATCTAAGATCGACTGCATGAGGTCTTCAATTTGGAACCATCCCGGCCGAATATAAGATACGACGGCCCGGGGTCTTCAAATTTTAAAACCACTGCCCGGATTAAAAATCAACGGCGTAGGTCTTCAATTTCAAACCATCCCGATCGGACCTAAGATACGACGGCCGGGGTCTTCGACACCTGTTTGAAAATCACTTTT